CATACTGTACTCGAGAAACTTCAAAGGGCAGTCAAATTTCAAAGCATCTCTTAAGAAGAAGCAGACTGAGAAAACCGCTAACTTGGGAAGAAAAACTTTACATTATTGCTAGCATAATTTCATCTGGCGTTCTGGTAGCCTCTGCAACAGGACTGAGCACCATACATCTTTTATTCACAGGGTGCACTTTGGTGCTGGTTTCTTTCCTGAAGTGTTTGTGCAACCTGTATGTTGTGGCATTTCAGAGTGCAAACATCCCTTTCATACTGTTTGGCAATGTACAATGATAACTGTTCTTTATGTTGCATAGTGTTTAACTTCAGTGTGCATCTAATGAGCCCTGTCCTTATTTTCACTCGGTGTTCTCTGTAATGCAGCAAGAGGAAGCACTGTTTCAGTTCGTGGATGTAGGTTTGTTAAGCAGAATTGCTCATACTGTTTCCTAGTTGTTTTGTTTTGTTTTCTTAACATTCAGGGTAACACGCATAGCTGATTCTTCCTGCAGCTAGAAGATCCAGGAAGAAAGACCCTGTTCTCACTTCCTTTCAAGTAACAGTTACCAAAAGTAAGATTTGTATGCATAAAGCAGTATCTCTGAACCCGCAAGCTAGATTCAGGTATTTTCATCTGCCCATTTTAAGAAAACATTTATCCCCTGGGGATCACTGGAGAGAAATGGTCTCATGGGTACTCCTTGTAGAAAGGTTTGAAACTGGTACGCCTGCATCATGCCAGGTCTGAAGAAGACAGTACTGTCCCCTTCTTACATCTCAAAAGAACCCAGGCAAGGTGTTCAGATAAGAAACAGCATCCCTTCACTGCTCATTTCTCACCCGTGCTGTTGCTTGGTGCAGGTAGCCTGAGCAGAACAAGGTCCCTGGGACAGCTGGGGTACAATCTGACCATGCTTGTTAGAGAGCTTAGCTTGGCAGGTAATTTTGCTAATTATTTTCCAAAGAAAGAAGGTTGTGCTTGTGTGGGAAGACGTACAAAAGCACTCTGGCGAATGTAATCTCATGGGTTTAAAAAGTATGGTTTTATGAGAGTCCTGAAATTTCCATTTCTCTGAACTGAAGAGTATTCTGCAATGAATAAATGTTCTGTTATTTCTGGGGGAAAGGGAACGGCTGGTTTCATAATGCTTCTATAGACTTTAAAGTGTCAGGCAGCTTTTCTCTTCTTTACAATATTCCAGATTTGGTTTTCAAGCCAAGGAGTTTGCAAACGCAGATAGCGATGCTCATATCAGAACTGGAGGCTCAAAAAGATCTCAGGTTTTTAGTGTTATGGGGAGAGACAGTGCAGCTGTGAATGTCCCATACTCCTTCAGCCAAATTTATGATCCCTTTTGTGAACTTTTTTTTTTCTTCATTAATTAACTGTCAATTCTAACACTACATTATTATTTGGTTTCCACTGCTTCCACTGGTTTCAGATCAGAAATTTGAACGTCCTCAGATCTTTGACCCTTCCTTCAGGAAATTGCACTGGCCATTTTTCTTCATTTTTTTCTCCCTCCTCTTCCTTCTTCTATCCCTCTTCCCCCCTGCCCTGTATGTTTCCACAGTGTTGTCCTTCTGTAGGACCCAGCATTTCAAAACTTGTGGGCTTTTAATGTTGCCTGGGATTACACCATGCTTACTAGATCTCATGACCTTGCAAAACTGTCAGCCCTGGTACATGTGTATCTTGTATTTATCACCCTATGGCATCAATACGCTCATTCATCTTCTTTGGCAGAACAGCTCCATCTTCTGTTTTATTTCATGTTCTGGAAGTGCAGGCTAGATAAGTTGTGCTCAGAAAAAGGTCTCTGCTGTTCCTTCTTCCCATCTCTTCAGTTTGCCAGTTTTGAACCCAGTAGGTGAGTGCTCTGTGCTGAATTGCTGACAACCTAGTCTAAAGAGTTGCCTCTCCCACAGACAGCAGTCCAAGGCTCCATAAAGCTAAAACTTTCCATTTTTTTTTACAGCCAGCAGCATTCATCCAACTGCCTGAAATACCAGTTTTTTTCTTGCCCCATTATTGATATATGGGAACTCCAGCAGCCAGTTTTCCCCTCAGGTCACTGAGTCATCCTTTGTTGTTTGTTATTTTTTATCTTTTCACAGTTTGCTCCTCCCTGCTGACTAGAGACAGTACTCCTGCATTTTCCAATCTTCCATTTGTTTTCGTCATTGTAGGCTTCACCATTGCTCCAGAGAGCCACCATTTTATGTAATGTCTAAGCTTGATCAGAGCTGTCTTGACACCAGAGCCTTTGCTATCAAGCAACCTGTCATAGTTGCTTTCCTTCTGTTCTCCCTCTTGATTTTTGGTGGTTACAGGGTTATTGTTAGGCTGCTCTGTTTTCTTCTCCCTATTTTTCTGCCCAGTCAGATAACATCTTGCAATTTTCCCTCCTCACCCTGTCATGTCTCGCTTTTCCTCCTCCTCATTCATTTTGGAGATCTGCGTGGTTTTCTGCCTGTCTTGCTCTGCTTTCTCCAGGTGACAGGCTGTTACCAGCAGTAGTACCTCTTCTGACCTGTCACTGCAGGATCAGCCAGGCTCTGGGTGGATTAATCAAGCATTCCCAGCGCAGGGAGGCAGGACAAGAGTGAACAGTGAGTGATGGCTCTGCTGCCTCAGGTGTGAGGAACAAGTGTCCCTGTCTCTGAGGAGCTCTTGCTTCTTGGCACGAGAGGTGTCATTCGTCTTTGATGGTCTCCTTGCAGTCCAGGACAGTGAGTAGGATATATTATGAAACGGATGTGTGTGGCCCAACATACGGGTAACTCTAGCCGGCAAAATAACATTAAAATACTTTCCATTTGGAGATGGAATTTATAGTAGCCAGACAAACTGCGGAACAAACATCTCTTGTGCTTCTGCTGCTGTGTTTGTGTGAGCCTGAAGGCTAACAAACAGGCAGGGAGCTCTGGCCCGCTCAGTCGGGTAAAATAATAGTTTCCACTAATGATGAAGTTCGAACTGGCGGAATTTTCACAACACCAAAAGAGCGCATCAAAAAAATAAACCTTCATTTCCTCTCACTCCTCCCTGTCTGTCCTTTAACCTGCACAAAGACTGCAAATCACCGTGTCAGTAATTACAAAAACATCTTTTCTGAGGGGGGAAGCTCTGGAAGAGGCTATTGGAATAGGGGCTGGGCTTTTAAAAATTATTGTCACGAGTGTCCATATGTCTGTTCTTATGGACAGGCATAGCAGAAGGCTTGGCTGATCAGGGGGGAAAAAGCGCAACCTTTTCCAATTAGTTCAAAAGCTATACTAAAATGAAAATACAGATTGAAGAATCTGTATGTCCTGTTCCTAGCAGCCTAGCTTACAAGTCTGAAATCACAGAATTGTTTTGGCTGGAAAATGTGGGTAGGGATCTGGTTTAGGCAGCTTGGGATTTTCCTGATGTGTTTTCCCATGCCCAGGGGAGGGATTTATTACATCTAATTATACATTTGAGATGATTGCTTTGGGGTAATAACCGACATTATCACTGGCGTCAAATATTTACAATGTAAGCTAAAAAACATCACGAATATTCAGTCAGTGTGGTTCTGCGTTGCTATCATCTGTTGTAAAATGCTGATGTATCTTGCAACAGTCCCTCACTAGGCGGTTAAATTGATAAGGGGCTCTTGCACAGCCCTTTGGAAAGGAAGTGACTCCATTTAGATCACATCCTCAGTCATTTACAACAAATATTATTCAAGCCATTTAAAAATGTAGACCTTTTTCTTAATTTGGTATCTTACTAAAATTTTAAATCTTATTGTCATGACTTCTAGCAACAAGCTGAGGAGCATTAGAGGCTTGCTGGCTGTCTCCTCTTCATACTTGGATTTGGTATAAATTATTCCTGTCCGTCTCAACCCTTCTTTTTTTTTTTTTTTTTTTTTTTTTTTTTTTATTTTTCTGGATCATTAACCATCTCTGGCTGTGGCTGCTCCAGCTCTCCTTGAGCTGGAAGGGACAATGTGTATCAAATGTCCCAGCTAATCTCACTGGTATGCTCTTCTCTGTCATTCTCTCCATGGAAAGGAGAACAAAGAAAACACTGAATCTCTGTTTGCTACCGGGATATCTGTATGACCCATCTCTGGGACAGGACAGTAAGAGTGAAGCTGACTCCTTAATTTTTAGTGACCAAGTGATAAAGACAGGTTCCTGTTATACTCTCTAGATGATGTGGAAGCCCAATGTATGAAGTGATGTCAGCCTTCTCAGAAATTCTTTCACTATCCCCAGAAATGGGATTGTATTTCAGGGATTTTTCTGTGGGATATACCGATATGAAGACTTTAATCTGAGTATTCAAAGATATTTCAGATCAAGCAGTGATAACTCATGTGCAGAAGGAGCACTCACCAGTTTTGATTCACATGAAGGTTTTCATTATTATTAGGAAAAATATATGCAATTTTAATCTATAGTGAGAGATTTTAATGAATTTCATGTAGTAAATGACCAGCTGAAAACAAAGTTTAAACCTCTGTTTAAAAATGAAACAGTTTTAAGAACATTCCCTTGAATCTTACAGTCAGGCTTGTAGAAGTGAGTAGGGTAAAGTGAGACTGAAAATAATCTGATGCCAAGAAGGTCAGAACTGAAAATAAGGAACTTATTTCAGTCCCTTGTCTTCTGAGCTATATAGGCATTTCTTTATATTGCCATAATACATATTTTTATAAACAAAACAACTTGCTAACTTTCTTCTGTTCCTTTCCTGTGGGTTTTGGTTGTTGCTTTATGTAGAGTACACTAATGGAAAAAATATGTTCAATAAAAAATGTGATAGATATTTCATATAAAAAACATCTGGACTGCCAAATATGTATCTATCTCTCTCACAGCAAAAGAAAGTTGTCAGTAACTGAGATTCAGACCACAAAGACAGTAACTCCCAATTAAATCAAAGCATGTTAAGTACCTAAATAAGATTTTTTGTCTAGTAGCCCTAATCGTTATGATTTCTAAATTGATAATAACTCTTTCCAACAGCCATTCAAGAAAAGCACTTTAAGAAGCAAGTTGTCCAAGCAATAAAAGAAGACAATATATCTAACAAAACTGCTGTACAAGAAGGTGGACTTCTACTAGAAGTGAGTGGAAAAACGCTATCTTTTCTGGCTTTAATTTATTCAGTTTGATGATATATTTGGGTTAATGCTTTGTGGCAACTTTGAACAAATGGTCAATCTTGGTGTGAGTCAGTCAGGAATCACGCTTGTGAGCCCTTCTTGCAAGACCAAAACTGGCAGTGGTGGTAGTCCTGGTCAGTCTCTGTTTGGGCAGCTGTACCTTGCACCTTTCCATCCTTGGAATTACCAGTGAACTCCAGTGGTCCAGTTCACAGTTCTTTTCCACTTGGAGTGATAGCAGAGGTTTATTTTACTTGGCCCATATTTTGAGGATGCCAACAGGAGCTTGCCTGGTTTCTGTTCTGAGTTGAGATTATTCTGGGATATTTTAATTTATCCCATTTCCTCAACTCTGTGTTCTGAGGGAAGCTGTGTGTGCAGAAGTTATTCCATCTATGTATTTTTATCCCCATTAGGATGACTTTATATTGGCAGAGCAGCATAAAGGGGCCATACTGTTACTGAGAGCTGGATCCATTAATCTGGAGGAAAAATTAATACTGCTGTAAACTACTGAACCAGCTAGAGCGCAGTGGTCCATCCCAGATACATCTGCATTTCAAACACATGATGTAATAATGCCTTTTATACACTGAGGTCCTTGGAAATTCCTATGTGATTAAGATACAAATGTATAGCTGTTTTGGATAGGATAATATTAATGGTATAAAAATTGTATTTTAATGACAGCTCTGAGATACATGTAAACGTAAATTAAATAGTAGCTTCCAGCAAATAAATGATGTAGAATATTAAAGAAAAAAGACATTTTATTGTGGGATCCAATATCATAAGTCGTTCAAGTCTACAGAATGGAAACTGGCACCCTGCTTTCCTTCCTCTTAATACTTTAGAAGATTTTAATTTTGTATTTCAAAGCAAGTCACACATAGGCATCTGATTAGTTAGTGCTAGTGCCAAAATGAGATGTTTGGCTGTCAGGTATTATTTGTAATAATTTCCTTTCTCAATGAATAGGGAGTACAGGGCATACAATAAATGATAAATATGGAGAGTATTTAATTTTTAATGAGTCTCTCCTATCTTTAGTCTATGTTTTACTGGGTGTATATTACATGCCCACAAGTTATAAACATTAAAGATCTTCAAACAATATCCCTACTGCTACGAGCACATGGAGAGAACACTGATATGTAATTTCAGGTAGGTTATAAGACACTAATATTACTGAATATGTTAATGGTCTGCTTATTACAGGGTATATAGGAGTCACTTTCATTTTGAATATATGGGAGATATTTTATTCAGAATCATACTTAATGTGGATCATTAACTGGATGATTAAATGCACATTAATATGAGTGTATTCACCGGGCTTTGTTTATAGGCCTGTCTGACCTAGAATAAGAGGGTGAATTTTCCATAGGGCTATCTGGAAATCTTCCCTCAGAACTGAGTTTGGTTTGGATGCTCATTCAGTGGCCGTGGCATGTGAAGAAAAGTGGGTTTTTTGTTGTTGTTCAACAAAACTTGCCATGTTGGTTATTAGGGACTGTGGAGTTTTAACCAAGTAGCCACATTTGTGATTCCTTCCAAGGAGAAGCAGTCTTGCTGGTGTTTGCTGTGCTTTGTATATTGACTTGTGAATTTGACCACTTTATTGGCACTCAGAAGATATTTTTCAACTGTCAAAAGCGACTTTCCTTCTTGTGACCCTACCTTGCACTGTGCAATCTCTCCTAGATGCTTTATATAATACAAACCAGAATAATCTGAATCACCAAAATATGTGTGAATAATACTGTCCCTGAGTGCAATGTTAATGGAAAAACAGGGATAATTGCATTTTTTTTTTCCTAGGGGGTATGATCACTGTGCTCTACGTATAGATAGAACTATGGAATAACAAGAACCCTAATTACTGGTAAATAAGGTATCTATGACTCTCGAGTCTTGGAACAGTACAGTACTTCCCCTTTCAGCTTGAAAGAAAACAATGGAATTAGGCTGTCTTCAAAGTATGTTTAAAATGTTTTTTATTTCTAAAGGCCTCTGCCACAACATGTGGTTTTTATTTAAGATTTTATAGAGATTTTTTACAGCTATAATCAAATAGCTTTCATCAGCAATAACAGAATAAACAATGATACCAGTTTATCAAAGACTTTTTAGTGGAGCACAGCAGGTATCTAAATAAATAATTTCTTCTAGTGTTTTAAGACCATTTCTGGAAAAGTGTGTCTTTTCTTGCCATCTTTGTTTCCCTTTGGAGGGAAGACAGACAGACCTCTAAGAACCAAAGTCCACTTTTATTAATGGTCTTTTCGAGCATACCCCATTCTTGCAATCTTTGCTCTCTTTGGAAACTTCAGACTCCAACTGTTTGGCTGCAGAATTGATTTTTAACTTCGCACTTTTCAAAATATTTTCCAAGACAGGTGGTATTGCAACCCTTGTGCCACATGCCCTCTGGCAGAAAAGGGCCACGTTCAGTTTCTGAAGCCTGTTACTGAATATTAAGGAGCACTGGGCCAAACCCGTAACCAGAAAAGTGGGAAAATAAATTGTATTGGCAGTCAATAAATCCAGATAGAATTTATGGGGTGATGGGGTGGAGAAACACAATAAAATGGTGACTTGGAAAAATAAGAATGAATCACTGGTGGGTATCTAGGCAATGGCCTTGATTGCAATAATCATCTCATGGCTGTTAGCCACCTCCTACTCTTCCTTCCAGCTATGCTGCACTCACAGTCTCAAATCCAGACTCAGAGCCTACAATGTTGTGCAGGTAATTCCTCATCCCAAATGCATGTGTAATTTTCACGTGTTACCTACTATCCTATCAGAAGAATTAAATGTCTGTTGTTGAGAAGGAGGCCCTATCTGGACTTGTCTTCTCAATGACATGCAGTCAGGCAGTGGCCCCATCATCACCACTGACATTGCTTCTTGTGCAATCCTAACCCACATACTAAGCAACACTCTGCTAAGATTGTCACTTGGACTTTATTGACCACCTCACAGTTGTTCCTGCAGTTTTTCTGCTCGTTATGGAAGAATCATTGATGTTCAGATTTCTGTCTCATCCCTTGCTGCTGGAGGAGATGTCTTGATGGGCTTTCTTTCCTTCTTTGTTATGTCTATTGGTCTTGTATTCCACTGTTGTAGGTTGCAGCGGAGGATTTAGGGTATCTCTGTTTCCAGATGTACTGGATATAATTATTTTCAGGTGTGAAAATAGTGTTTTATATCCAAAATATCACAAAAATTAAAAAGAAATCTGGATGATCCAGGTGGCTCCCAAACAGATGCTAATGGAGTAAGACTGCATGATACTGTCATGCCCCACCTCGCTGATGAATACTGATAAAGGCCAGACCAGGACTGTTTTGTCATTTCTGTGCTCACCAGCAGCTCACACGCTTTTAGGGAAGATCCATGTTGTTTTCAAGATGTTCCAAGCCACTCTTTTGACCAGTTCACAGAGAGATTTCCACGAGTCCTCTACTCTTAAGGCTTCAAGGCACAAGAATCACATTTCTGTGGTTTTGTCTCATGTTTTTCTTTATGGCTGCACTGAAGATGCCAGTCATCATACTATCCTGGTATTTCTTATTCAGTGACACTGTATATTCTGTTTAATATCTTTATCAACAATCTGGATGAGGGCATTGCGTGCTCCCTCAGTAAGTTTGCAGACAACAGCAAGTTGGGCCAGAGTGTTGATCTGCTTGAGGATAGGAAGGCTCTACAGAGGGATCTGGACAGCCTTACTTATTTAAATTTTTAGACAAAGACTGTCAGATGCCTGGCATCTTAAAAAATATCTTAAAATAACAGACATATGGTCTTTTACTTAAAAAAAAAAAAACAAAACAAAAAAAAACCAACCCAAACCAACTTCTTCAAAACCATGTCTGTCTTCAGAAGTGGAGAAAAATGGTGAAAGCTAGTTTTGTTAGTGTGGCCCTTATAATTCTCCACTGGTATCAATAATCTTAGCTTCATTACGTTAACTACTTAATCATCTAAAGCTGGATTTTTCTATCTGAGCTTCCATGTTTTGTAGGCATACTTTTGTTCTACCATTTAGCAGATGAATTTTGCTGATTTGAGTTGTAAATAATATGACTAGTGAGGCAATTTGGGTATCTAGCTATTGAACCAGCAGCATTTGTGCTTTGAATTGACTGTTGTTGCAAAGCAATAGCATAATCAGGCATGGGCACTTTATCACACAGACAAGTTCTTTATATATTATTTCTTAATTCCATGTCACAGGTTTGGGCACTATCATGAATAGGAAATTTTTATTCTTGCTTGGTAGTTCCCACTGAAGTCAGTGAGGCTTTTTTTCATTAGCTTTAATACCAAATAGAATCCAAGTCTTAAAATCAATGAAAGTCAGACTTTTTATCTAAGCAAAGGGTTGAAGATTTGATACAACGCAATCTTGAAATACATTATTTAACATTATGTTGTTACCTGAAAAGTGGCTGCAAATAATAAGCTTTCTGGGAGTTACTTTGAACAGAGCAGTGTATGTGCACATTTTGGCACTGAAAGGTATTTCCAGGTGGCTTCTACTAACAGCTTGAACTAGAGTTCAAGTTTCATTCCAAGGGATTTGGAAAATGATACATTAGAAAACATCCTATTGGTGCTGTTCTTCACTCTGCATAAGGAAATAACATAGGAAACCCTTTTCCCACTTGGTTTCCTGTAATTTTTTTAAACTTGTTAGTATAATTCCACTTCCTCCTTCCAAACTGATTTATGTAATCAGTAGCTGATAAAACTGTGCTCTTGAAAAAGGTACTCCAGTTTGAATTTCAGTCTGAGAGCAAGAGAACAAGACTCTTCCTGTTATTTTTTAATTTAAACTTGAAAAGAAAATTGGGAGTCAGACAAATGTCATGGTTGGTATATGGAGCTATGACTAAGGCACAGAATTCAGAAATCAAAAAGTGGTAGAGAGAGACTTTTTGATTTATTCT